GTGGGGTTGGGTGGGATTTGGTGGGATTGAGGTGGGCTGCATTGAGATAGAATTGGTAGAAAACCGCCGGAGAAACCGTTGAAAACCCATCGAAAACCGCGTGGAAACGGACCATCGGAATTGTTTTGCAATTCGCTTGGTTGTAGCGTTGCAGTTCTTGCCATGTTCTGCAATTTTACGTTGATTTTCTCTCTCGGGCTTGTACGTGACAGTAGGTCATAGAATTTGAGGCCACATCACACCAAATTAACTTAAATTTTTCATCTTCAAGTCTCCAACGGTTGAAAAAAAACCTGCTTGAAGGAGGCACGGCAATCTTTTCCAAGTGCCGTAGCTTTCGCTTTTGGAGTGGCTTCCGACGTTTTTTTTTTGAAGGTAGAGCTAAGTGCTCGTTCTGTGATCTCTACAAGACCAACTCAGATTTTTGAGTGTGTGTTGGATTTTGATTCTTTTTCTTTGTCAGGTCTCCGCCACTGAGCCGCAGTTCTGTTGGTGGGAAAAACACCAGTGCTGGCTGATGTGGATTCACTTCGAAAAACAGCACGATGGTTCTTGCATTCGAGCGCGGCAATGTAGCTGTGTTGTCTGATTTCAGATTGTTCGGGTGGCACCATCGCCGCCAGAGCGCCAGCGCCGCCACCACCACCACACCCAGCACCAACACCCATCTGCGCACTTCGGCCTGCTGCTACGGCCATTACGGATTGGCACTTCATGCGTCTCGAGTCCCTCGCAACATGTATATCGTTCCGAATTGCAAGCGGCATTGATCCAGCTGCTGCGAGAATTGTGGCCAAAATCACAACGTCTTGTTTGCAAAACCATACCCTTCAATCGTTATAGCCAGACATCCGCAACACTTTTCAGCCATGTTTGATGAACATCATATGAACCACATGAAACGACGACTTGCAAAGCCAAGGAAAGCATGAAGAATCAGTAGCATGTCATGACTTCGTGATTCATGAATTTTGCATTCTGCCGGGGGGGCTGCTTGGTGGGCAACCTTGGATAAGAATAGCAGCTGAAAGGAAGCAGGATGATGAGAAGTGACAGGAAGCGTAACACCAGTTTTGAACAGATCAGTTTTGTTGCCATTTGGATTCAAGGGCCTTGGCCGGCAGGTCATGTCCGTAGCTGCCGGCCGGAAGGGGCAGAAGACAAAAGAGCTGCCGACTCGCGCTGCAGGCAATGGCACAAGGCACTGAACGCTTCAAGCTGTCATCAGCAAGAATGTTTTTTGCAGCGCCCGGCAGTGTCCGCTCTTCGTGCAGCGGTGGCACTTCTGATTGCCACTAGCCCATGCAGCGTGCGGGCAGGTTGGTGCCAGCAATGTTCGGATGAAATGTTGTGTCATTGCCGTAACTGATGCTGGCAGGCAAAGACACCCATACATACAAGCCTTTGGAAGATGTTGTGGTATGGACAGACAAAGTGGGTCCCTACAACAACCCGCAGGATGCCCAGGGGTGCACTTTGCATGTTAACTGCACATGTCGTTTTCGGCGCTTGGCAGCAGACTCTTGTGCATTGGGCAACCTTGGCATCAGTGCACATTGTTGCAGACATGCATTGATAAGCTGGCCGTTTGGCCATCGACTGCGCTTGTGTCTTCTTTCATCGGGTGCCGGGTTGCCGAGCGCACGGAACATTCCGCAGCAGTCTTCATGCAAAACCTATAGATAGAATGATGAATGATGCATCAACCAAGTTGGAGCCTCGATCATGCAGTCAATTTTAAGGTTCGTTCAGATTCGCCATGAGCTCCATGTTGTTAGTTTTTCAGGGCTGTTTTGGTCGTGGCCCTCTTGCTTCTTCGCTTTCTGTGGCGGAAATTCCTTGAAGCTTGTCATTTGCTGATTTTTCTCGTTCAGTCCCGTGCGGCACTTGTGTCGGCTGCTGGTAAGCCTGTCGTAGCTTTTTCCTAAACCGCTCGTCAGTTCTCTGGGTTGCGTGCTGTTTCTCTACACAGTATCGATGTTTCTGTATGAATGTGCAGGAGACTTACGAGTATAGCATTCTCGGCCTCTGTGAGCTCGAAGGCCGGGCAGCCAGTGAAACATGAGAGACGAAGGAGTGTCAGCAGGAACATGCAAAGGCCTAGACGATGCGAAAGTCATTTCAGCGGGTCCCTGTTAGACAGATTCTTTTCGTTGCCTGTTTCCCGACATGTCACATTCAGAATGACTGAAAAGCGCCTGGTGAAGTCGTGGTTTCAGTCTTTGCTTACTCACATGCATTAAGTTCCGCATTCATGCGTCGCACGGCACATGCGCAGCCTCTGTGCAGGTGAGGACATATCCGTGGAGCATGGTGAGTTCGGCCCTTGTGACAGTGTGATTTGTGCCCCGGCAGTTTCGCTATTCCAAGCCTGCACATGAGGCTTTCCATCGGTGAAACCCTTGAGGGCCACGCATTTCACTCTTCACCTCGGCCACAATGCAGCATTCAGAATGAGATCTGTTCCGAAAGCCGATCCAGCTGCGCAGTCGGACGGTTTGAGGTTGGACATCCACTTCGGACAGAACAAAGGCCACACCGAGCTCTGCAGCATGGTTCTGACAGAAGAGAAGGCGAAGGAGACGCTTGCAGAGCGTGTTCGTTGCATGTGCGTCAGGAGTCGTGAAGGTTACCTCTCTTTGCACGAGTCTTTAGCCGCAGCTCAGAAAAAATTCTTTGGATTCCAAGCTTTGAACAAAGTCCTCAGCAGGACTGTGTTCGAGGGATATGGGTCATTTGGACAGAGGCTGAGGAATAGCTCCCATGAATAGCGATGCTGTGCGGAACAGAAGAACCGAACGGACAGAGTTTATGGTCTTGGCCAAATTGTGAAAAGACACATGGGGAGTCTGGTTTTGCTTCTGTCGGTTTTGCAAGTTTGGGTTCGGTTCGCAGGACCTCGCGGGGATGATCAACGACAATTACTGGTGAGCCGCTGGTGTGGAGGCTTTTGAGCGTTGCCAGCAATGCAGCTTTTTCCTACAGGTACCAGCTGTACATTGACGATTTGCCGATATGGGCATTTGTTGGAGAGCACTCCAAATTTGCACTAGATGTCAGTCGGCACCTCTGGAATCAAGGTGGGGTGTCGTATTTTTCTAAGCAGATACATGACCTGAGGTCGGTTCTCGATGATGTACCGGGACAACAATAGGTCACTCCAGCTTCCTTCATCGGGAGCTGCCCCACCAGTACCCAAGCACTTAAAGGCGGGATGGCTGTCATCTGAAGCGAGCCAGAGATCCTCCAAGAGTGTGTCAAAAGTGCAGGGGAAGCCTCTTCCGCGAATCTACACTCATCGACACTTCACATTGTTCTACAACCAAGACCAGATCATCGAGGCTCTGATCCTGTTTTGTGTTGTAAAGGAAAGATGTGATATTGTATATTTTAGTATTACATTTTATGCACAATATCATATAGTGGATCAAAAGAGTATCATACAGTAGAACATAGAGCGATTTCAAACAACATATTAAAATACAATGTGCCATATATTTGGTCCGGTTTATTATGTATGATGTATTATTGGTTATAGAACATAGGTTATATGTAATATGTTCTATATTTTATGTCATACATGATGTGTTTCATGTTTTACATCTCGGGTTATATACTGTAGTATGTAGTACTACCATTTACCCTGCCGGTCCTTGCTAGCGCCAGGTAGACATGGAGCCCTCCTCACCATGGCCAATTTACGGTGGCGCACCACTGAACTTGTCGTACACGGTCCAGTGGTTTCCAACCGGCAACGAGTTCAAGGAACCCGCTTGCTTGCATGCGCTGTTTCGTACCTCTTCAACCTACAGCTACTTCTACTGACATGTCTCGTCAAGGAGTAGACAGGTGTGTCACTTTCAGATGTCTTTACAGTTGCCGCCTATTGGGACGCTCGCTACCCGGTGATGACTTGAGTGCAACAGGTTGAGAGCGAGATGTAACACAAGCATGACGGGTCAGCATCACCTCTCGGCTGCGTCACATGTCGCACACGAGCGGTATGGTCAATTCCCGTAGTGAATCTGCTTTATGCAGTGCTAATTTAGTCGCATCAGAGCCTTCTGAATTTTTACCAGCACGTTTGAGGCTGGTTTCTTAGTGTTTTCTTGGGTTTCGGGGATCAGAAGACAGTTTTTCTACCTGTGCATGCCTCCCAAACCTTCTGGTTCTTCAAAGAACCTGAGATTTTGACGCTGCACTGCATGCCTTCTCGGCGCAAGTCTGCTTCCAGTCTTGCTCGCTTTTTGACATGGCAGGACAGGACTAATCGATATTTGGACCCGAAGTTTTTCGAGCACAAGGCCCATGTGTTCCCTGGCAGCTGTAGTCTTTCGTGTGCGCCGTGCCTCCTGCACAGGTGCACTGGTTCTCCATCGTGAACTCCTTCATGCTCTGCCTGTTTTTGTGCGCGGTGGTCGCAATCATCTTGATGAAAACATTGAAGTCGGAGCCTCTGTGCCTTTGTCAATGTCGGTATTCAGCTGCTTCAAGGGCAGCCCTGCATTTGGAGGCGTGACTTCACCCGGTATTCAGCCAGCGAGGCTGAAGAGCTGGAAAACTTAGATGGAATTGGCGGGTTTCTTAGTCGTTGCTGTCTTGCAAGGTTCTTCGATTTCGCGATTCTTCGATCGTGTTGATGCCTGCCTTCACGTAAGGAGATGAGAGTGGGTGGAAGCAAGTAAATGGAGACGTGTTTCGAAAGCCAGACCATTTGGCAATTTTCACCGTGGTGTATGCCTCGGGCTGCCATCTGGCTTGCACTGTTTTCATTGTCCTGATCTTCGCAATATGCAACTCGCATCTCGTCTGATCTAGATCTCCCAGTTCGCACCTGATGTGAGTTCCTCTGCTCTCTCTCGGTATGAGACTGCGGGTTTCTCGCAGGTACTACGCATCACGCGGAGCCACTGCAGGATCCTTCGTCATAGCTTACCTTTGTACAGTTATAGTCGGCCGCCCAAATCAAGCCACGCATGCAAAGCCAGGCGACCGCAGTCTGTTTCTGCATGTTGCGCTGCTCAGGTTGGCGGGTATGAAGGTGGAAGAATATTCCGCATGTTTGGAGGCCAGCACTGGAAAAGGACGTGTCCGTGCAGAGTAATGAGTTGACAGTGCAGGAACAACCATGCCAAGCTTGTTCCTTGACCGGTGAGGACGATGGTCTATCAATGCTTGTTCATGCCCGGCCTTGTCGCGGACTGAGATGACCAGAGAAGCTCTCTGCATCGAAGTCTACGTAAGTCTGTGACCTGGTACCTTCTGGCAGGCATTGTCGTGCTCTGTTGGTAGATCTCTGCCTTGTCTATAAAGGGGGAAGGGGATCTTTGCACATTTATGGCCAAACCACTTCGAGGGGAGAAGTCAAACTCTGATTGAGCCATGTCGCAAGAACTGATGCGACGGCACAGGGAGCCTCGATCGAGCATGCATGTGGGAGTCAAGCTAATCTCCCACCGAAGGGAAGCATGCCGCTGTTCATCATATCCATGATGCTCCACCTCACCTCACGTGTTCAACACTCCTCCGAGGTCCTCCGAGAAATACGCATGGCTCTCCAGGGTCTGCAAACCAAATGGTTGAAGCTTTAAACGAGGGGAAGCATCTGTCGATCAGGAACACAGAGGCCAACAAATCCACTGAAAGAAGCGATCGAGTCTCGCTAGTTTTTCCTGCGAGCCAAGGCCTGCTCCCGACATCGCCCCCCTTCGAAGCCCTTGAAGCCCCAAGCCCTTGAGGCCCCCTTCGAAGCCTTCGAAGCCCCGTTCACGTGCTGGCAATGGTGGCCCAGGTGTTACATGTTCAATTTCAGTGGCGATATGGGGAGCAGTGCAATTGCTCTGCTACATTCCCAAAAAAAAGCCTGCTGCACTGCTGTGCTCCCACGGGGCCCTGTGATGTATGTGCTGAGATATTCTGCACGGGTTGAGAACGTGCCGAAGCCGAAGCCCTGATCCACACGCCCATGGGCTTCCAGACTTTGGGAAGGGCATGTTGAAAGGGCCGCATCATGTGACAAAGTGGTGTCTACTGTCGCTGTTTCCAGAGAAGGCATGATCTAAATAAGTGGGGCCTCGGCACAACATAGGCCCGGGATTTGATGAAGACCCTCCTAGCAGAGTTGCATCCCAGAGTTGGGTGTCTGATGAAGTTCCATTTTTAATTTTCACAGACTGGAACTTCGTTGTTGCTCTTTGGAGAGTCAAAGAGTCGTGGATGAGTACGTGAATTGAAGATTGAAGAGTCTGCAGCCCACTGCATTGGTTTGGGCAGCAAGGCAAGTGTGTTTGCTCTGCTGACACCTCTTGCATGTTTTGGAGGACTGCTGGCTGTTGCACAAGCATGTTGCACAAGCAACATGCCGTTTGTTCTGGTGTTTGCTTTGCTGTTTTTCTGGCCCCTGAGTGCAGTTGCCTGCATGCTTTCGAGCAGCTCCAGTGACACCCGCGGCAATTCCATCGTTGAGCACCTTTCAGGCCTTCATTAGTTTCGTCGTCATCAACACGACAGCCATATTCTACAGAGCAACGCTTACAGCAACCGGGCCGCAAAGCTTGAAACGGGTGCACTGTTGAAGCTCTTATTTGCAGAAGGGACGTTTCCATCAGGTGCCGTTCAATACGATATTCATCATTTTGGTGCTGTTCCTGGCTGTTTGTGTGCCCCTGCACACGGCTTGGCACTTAGCATCCACCTGCAGGCGCTGGGCTGCAGGGGGGTTTCATGGTGTTGTGAAATCTCTCCAGGTTGGCACGCTACTTGGACGGCGAGCAGCTGCAGAGCGCTCCTTCCCCTGCCGCGTGCATCATCTGAAGAGGCCCCTCTGGCGGATCCGAGGTTTGGTGCCCGTGTCCGATACTTTTACAGACCGAGGTGCCGTGAACACAAAAGCAAGCCGCTAGAAACGAGATTTTTGTGCTCACCGTTGCTGTGGTTAGGCGTGTGGACCGTTCTACGATTCTGGTTATTGTCAGGAGCACTAGTGACTAGTGGATTATTGGAGTCGCCAACCCATTCAATCTGTGCTTGAACCGCACAGTAGCCTCAGCAAGCAGGTGCATCATTCACAAAATCTCAGTTTTCCACAAAGCCACCCAAGCTTTTTCTGCAAAGGTGTCCCACCACTGCACTCAGTTTACTCGGCAGTGTCTTCATGCCGGGGCGCATAAATTGCAAAGCATCTCGCACAACAGAGGCGGCACGGAGTAAGAAGTATGAGCGACAACAAGCAGTAGACATACTCACCCTCACCACAAGCAATACGAGAAGCACCAAGCAATAAAATCTCGATGAATTACAACACTAGATAAGCTCACCCGGAAAACGCAACAGCAGGCAAACAGCATCAACCGGGAGAGGCCACGAAGGTTAAGAAAGAGAAGCGCGGGACAAGTTGGAACAAAAGGCGCCAACTGAAGAACCGGCCCAGTCACGCCGCATACTTCGTATTTCGCAGGCAATCGAAGGCACCACATCGGCTGCACTGCACCGGAAAGAGCACAGCAATGGCTTCCCGAAGGACAGAACTAAGCAAGACACGACAACATTCGGGCGGAAGAAGGAAAGATAAGCGAAGGACGCCAGCACAGTTCCGTTGCTCAAATCGTGCAATCTCGAGCATCAGAGACAGCACCCCGACAGCACAAAAACCACAAGCAGAGCACAGGGCAAACAAGAATCGTAAAGGAAGCATACGGTTTATTTGCCGGAAGCAGACTCACGGCAAGAAGCACGGGCACCTGCGTAACAAGTCCCAATGTGACGAAACGGTAGGCTGCACCGTATCTCGAGCCACCGCCCGCCCAAACCATCGTATTAAGAGCATGACCCACGGGCCACAGCGCATCAAAGCAGGCGAAGTGTGCTGCGAGTGCAAAGCCTCGGTAAACGTCGCTGAACTCAGCAAACACAATCTACCTCATCAACTGCATGTTTGTTGCGTGCCAACTTGAAACCCGCCCTTCAAGAAAGTTTGCATTAGAGCATACGCCCTGTTCGTAGGCTGCACGATCGAATTTCTGTTGGCTCGTAGGCATTTTTATGCCTTGGTTGATTGCCCTTGATTGCCTAAGGGCAGGCACAGAACCATCAACGACATTGTCATGTTCGTAGTTCGGTGGTGCGACTTCGACACTTCTCGTTTTTTGTGTTTTGCACAGCCAGGCCGATTCCAACAAAGCATTGGGCCTTCACACCCATCATGACGATGGTTGCAGGACCGTGTCATGTTGGTAAGCATGATTACACAGACCAACTTGGCAGGAATTGTGCCCTTTGGTTGTCTCTTCATCGAGATGTATTTCATCCTGTCTGCAGTTTGGAGCCACAACAAGATCTACTATGTCTACGGCTTCATGTTTGCGATTTTGGTATTGCTTTGTCTCGTTATTGTGTGCGTCAGCATTACCTGCACCTACATCCTCCTGAACGCGGAGGATTACAGGTGGCAGTGGCAGTCGTACATCAGTTGTGCAGCAACAGCATTGTATGTTTTCCTGTATACGATCCACTATTTCTACAACTCCACGCAGATGTTGCGGCCTCAGTTGACCGCACTCGGCTGTGGGCTGCAGTGGAGACCAGCTATAGCACGCCACGGAGACTTGCTTGGTTGTTCAGCATGTGAAGGTCTGGCTTCTTGCAGACGGTGTACTACTTTGGTACGTCGCTGAATTTCTGCATCGGTCTCTCTTTATTTTGCGGCTCGCTGGGCTTTATCGGCTCCTCGAAGTTTGTGTTTCTCATATACAGCAACATCAAAGCTGAGTGATGCAGTAGCTCCTGAGGGCAAATGACCCGTGGTTCTCTTTCTAGAGCACCACCGAACCCACTTTTCACATGCCTTACTCGAAATGATGAGTGGCATGATCTGTGGGGTGTCGACGTGAAGGCTGACTTGGTGTCGGCGAAGAGTCGGTCGTCACTGCCGAAGTCCTGCCGTGCTCTAGCATGCCTTTGCCGTGATTTGCAAGTGTCTCGTTGCAGTCGCCATGATATCAAGAACGAGTCATATGCTTTCCCCCCAATGTGCCCGCGGAGCCTCAAGGTTTCCACACCGTCCAGCTGTCTCAGATGGCATTCGTCTTGGAACGTTGCTGCTCCGACCTGGTTGCAGGTCCCTTCATGACAGAGGGGGCGTCCAAGACTGGGACGACCAGATCTGTTGAGATCTGGCACTATCGCATGTTTGTGTTCTCAGCCACTGCCACGTCCCCCTGCCTTGTTTGTGCTGAATGATGCAATGAAGGAGGTTTTTCGATGCTGCTGCAGGCTTTCTCTAGCAGTGGAGATAGCGTACACCAAGTTGGCTTGGCTCTCATGTTCGGATGCTCACTTTTTGGACTGGCTGTAATTCCAAATCGAGGTTCCGAAGATTCCACAGCTCTACGCCGCTCTCATCCGTGACTTGACTACATCAGCGCATGTTTTGTCCTTGCAGTTGTAGTTTCCGCCCAGATCGTCCATCACGGCACCTCATTTCAGGGTTATAATTTGTTGGTTTGTAGCCAACCTCAACTTTCCGGGTTTATGAGGTTTTGTTCGGCCCACTCAGATCTCCTTTCATCAGGGTTTAGGGTGTGCCATCAACATCTCCTTTCAAGGTTTCTGGTTTACCAGCCACCATCTAATCTAATCCAACATCAGTTTATGGATTTGAGGTTGTCTGCGAACAGCGCACCAAATCCTAGAGGGTTTTGGAATCCGAGGCGCTGATTGATGAGTTTCTAATGCTAGACCCCTCCTATCCGTTTCGGTTTTTCAGATTCCGGGTTCCTATCCATCGTCTCCGTTTTCCATGCTGTCACCCATCAGCTCCATGTGCTGGGAGGACTCAATTCCGAACAATTCAGAACACCATGAAATGAGCTTTCGGGTATGGTTTGTGACCTCTCACCCATGGCGTGCTTTGTCGGAAAGTTTAAGGGCAGAGGCGTCCGCAGCGAGTTTCTGCTGCAGATGTGCAGGACAGCTGTCTGTCAGCTATCAACTAATTGTGTTGGGTGTGTAAGTGGCAGTGTCATGAGCAGGTTGCCTGGGGCGCCCTAGGCCCCCAATCTTGTCTTTACTTTTGCTCCCAGCATCCGGTTGATCCCGTCTGGATTTCGTGATCCCGGGGTCTTCTTCTGCTCTCCTTGCGCCTCAACTCCACGCTCTCGCTGCGGTTGGATTCGGCCTTGTCTTCTGAGAGCAAAGTCGCAATGCTTCAGTCCCTTAACTGAGCACCATGCGGGAGTTTCTTGCTTTGTTTTGCGTGCTACCCTCAACAGCAGCGGAGACGCAGCCTGCAACACGCGCGAGACTTAACTGCTGAGCAGGTTCAGAAAATGGCTGTTTTCTTCGCAGACTCAGGCGGAGTTGTGCATGAGTAAATCACAATCAGAGTTCTCATTCTCCTTCATTTTTTGTTTTAGTCCCAGTCGTAGCGTGGTGAAGGCAGCGGGGAAGTGGGGGGCTGGGTTGTGGAAGAAGGAGGGGCGGGTGCAAGATAATTTGGTTTGGCTTTGGAGCACTCTCAATCCGAGACCCCTCATCCGTTTCGGCTGTCGAGATTCTGGGTTTCCTTTACATCGTCTTCGTTTATGGTGCTGGGCTTCCCGCCCATCATTGTCAGACTCAATTCCGACCATCTCGCTTTGGGCTTTGGGGTTTGGTCTGTGCTTCTCTCCCGCGGCCTTTGTGGGCAGTTTCGGGGTCTTAGTCCGGTGAGAGTTCCTGCCCCAGCTGTGCCCGACAGCTGTCGTGTAAGGTGTACAATCCTTTACAGACACTCACATAAAAATGTATCGGCGTCACTGACGAGCCATGTCATGAGAGGGTTTCGAGCATGGTTGTTGCCTTGGCAGACTCACGTGGAGTTGTATCTTGTCTTTTGCCCGTCGTTGCGTAATGTACAGTGTGTGAGGCGAAGTCAATTTTCGTTGAGGGCGAAGGCTTGACTACACACTGCCGTTTAGGGCTTTGGGTCTAGGTTAGGACTTGCTACCAAAGTCTCGCTTTTGGAGTCTGGAGCAAGTTTAGTGTTTACCAGCCAGCCATTTCGAGCAATTCCAGCCAGCATTGTTTCCATGGGTGTCAAGTTTCGCAGGCAACATCTCCTGTCAGCCGCTTAAACCAATTCTGTACTTCCATCTTCTTTCAAGCCACCCATCACCTTTTCGGGGTTTCGGGTTTCTCAGTTGTGTGCCGGTCTCCATGCACATTCAGGTGTGCATTTTCAGGATTCGGTTTAGCAGCCTGCATCGTTGCCCTTTCGGTCTTAGGGCTAACCAGGCGCACGCTTGCGTCGAGGGTTTAAGACTTGCCACAAAAGTCTGCGTTTTCCCATTGAGGTAAGTTTCGGGTAGCAGCCAACATTTATTTTGAGGGATTCCAGCCGGCATACTTTCCGTGGGTGTCACGTTTAGCAGGCAACTTCTTCATTTTCTTTCAAGGTTTGGGCTTGCCACGTTTGTTTGGTTGTGTGCTGGTCCTGCTGGATCCCGAACCGACACTCTCAGGGTGCTTCCGTTTGGGGTTCAGACACCGTTTCGGGTTCAGGGGTTTGCCACCAAAATTCACCTTTCAGGGTTAAGGGCATGTTTCGGGTCAACTACCATTTATTTTTGAGGCTTTAGCATTGAGCAGCCAGCATGTCCTTTTTGAAGCACGGTTTCAAGTTGGGTTGGCAACATTTCCTTACATTTTGACGTGCAGCCCGTCAGCCTTTTTGTTGGTTTGGGTTTCTCTGTCCGAGACACCTGGTCTCCTTTTCGCTCCCGCCAATCATCTCCTGTGCCTGGCTCGCCATTCGTCATGTCTTGCCAGCGTGGTGGGTTTCCGTTTAGATGTCGATTGTTTTTTTTTGGGGTCGAGGGGTTGCTAAGAAGTCATTTCACTTGAGGGTGTAATGTTGACCACGCACCGTAGTTTAGGGTATAGGACTTGCCGCCAGAGTCTTCCTTTTTGCGGTTAAGGGCAAGTTTCGGGTTTAATTACCAGCCAACAGTTGTTTTGAGGGAAATCCATCCGGCATACTTTGTATGGGTGTCACTTTTCGCAGGCAATTTCTTCATTTTCTCTGAAGGTTTGGGCTTGCCGCCTATTGCCTTTCCAGCGTTTCGGGTTTCTTAGTTGTGTGCTGGTGCTGCTGGATTCTGAGTCTGGTTCTCAGCCTGCATCGCTTTAAGGGTTGGGGGTTGCTGCTTGTCGTTTCAGTTTGGTGTTCAGGGTTACCCAGACACAGGTTTGCGTTTCGGGTTTAGGTGTTTCCCACTAAAACGCACGTTTTAGGGTTCAGGGCAGTTTGCCGGTCAGCCTTTTGAAGCTCCTTGTCGCTGCCGCCAATCATCTCCGGTGCGTGGCTCGCCATTCGTCATGTCTTGCCAGTGTGGCGGGTTCCTCAATGCGCTCAGTTTAGATTTTTCAGACGTTAGGTGGCGCATGTAGGCTCGGCCTTCCCACTCATCATCTCAATGCAGGACTCAACTCCGAACACCTCGCTTTAAGCTTTCGGGCATGGTTTGTGAATGTTTGTGACTTCTCACCCATGGTGGGCTTTTGTGGGAAGGTTCAGGGGCATAGGCATCCGCCGAGAGTTTCTGCTCCAGATGTGCGCGACAGCTATCAATTTGCATGTTAGGTGTGTAAGCATTGTATATATCTGGACTTAAGCATCGTCAGAATATGATTGTGCCAGTCTTGTTGCCGGTCGACCTGCTTTTGTAATGATGCACTGCATCTTTCTCTGAGGTGCTGCAGTTTGGGACTGTGTGCTGGTCGGCGTGATCGTTGCACAACTGATCGATTTGGCGGCCATTCCCCTCCTAGTTGCCCGCACAGCTCTTGATAAGTTTGAACAAGGCGACCGATGTGTCCCTTAGATGCGGAAGCTTGAGGCTGGTATCGACAGTGGTCACTACCTGCCGCTGGCAGTGCTTCTGTACCACGCAATCGCCTTCGCCTTTTGTGGCCTCTACGATTTGCTGAGTCCTCGCCTCACAGCCATCAAGAGCATCAAGGGCGCTGTGAAATTTGCTGAGCAGATGGCAGCCACGCTGGAGGTCAGCAAGGGAGCGGCCGGGCCCGCACACTGCACCGTGTGTTGGTTTCCAGGCGCGTCTTGCGCCGACCTCGGCGAAGATCTGAAACTCAGGAGATGAGACGACTATCAGAGTCACCCGAGGCTGGAACTTGCCGGCGGTGCCTCCGGAACCAAGCTCTACTTGGGCCGCATCTGCTTTATCGTGCTTGTCCAAGTTCAGTCTGTGGATGTGTTTGTTTCTGCGGGTGTTCTGTTGGATTTGGTGTCTGCATGCCAGAAGCAGCAACAGAACAGGTCAGTGGAGGTGCGATGTGGCTTGCGCTACGAGTGCTGCTTCTGATTGGCGAGGAGACTTTGGTGCCCCGAAATTTCAGCAGATAAGAGTGTCACGGCTGGACACTAGCTAGACTTAAAAACTTGTTGATTTGAAGCATAGCACGGCTGAGCAAGGTCACTTGCATGCCAACCACCAACATGCTGACCGAAGCAGAAGGTCCTCCCAAAAAGACATGAAGTAAGGTTTTCTATTGTGGTTTGTGGTGGGCCTGTACACAGGGGTCCTCAGGCAATATATTCGTAAACAACACAGCACGAGTGAATCACAACAAAGAAACGCATTCGCTATCTCCAAGCTTCACCACTCCCAGATGATTTGTTGCGGTGCCCGGCCTGTCTCAGCTGGTTTTGGGTTGAGATGTTCAGTCTGGTAAGGGATGATGATGACGAGGGCCTCGGGATTTCGGATGAAAGGCTTTGGGGCAAGTCCCGGGGTTCACAGGACGCGGAAACAGGATCATGCAAGACCAAGACGAGGAGACAGGTACACAAAGCCACAGCTCACTGCAAACGGGTTCTGTGTGGTTGGCAGGATGCCGCAATTGCCACACTCTGCTCTTGTTTCCTTTCGGTATGGTCTTGGCCGTGCGGGCGAGTCGATCTGCATGGGTTTCCAGATGCCTTAAAGCAGGTACCATGTTGCTCACCCGTGCGGGTTCGCTTGCTATTATATAAGCTATTGCACAGAGCAGTCTGTCCACCACTATATGGTCGTATGTGAATTCTTGCTGCTCACATCCCTGACTATAGTTCCCTTTCACCGCCACTGTTTGCTATGCACTTGATGCCCTCTGCCAGTGCACATCAGGCAGAGATGCTGCAATGTTGATGTAAGTAAAGGAGTCTGCAAGATCAGATGTCTCTTGCTGAGTTTCCGAGTTGATCTGAACAGTATCGTGAAGAGGGGTCTGCGCTGCTGTGCCTAGACCAGATTCCTCAACAATGTCGCAACAAGTGTCCGGATCATCGCCTCTTGCAAGGTCGCGCAATGTCATCTTCTCTCCCATGTTGTGCAGAGACGAAGTCCTTTTTGCTTCGGATTGAAGTACTTTCCAAAGAATACCCAGCTGCTAAAGGCCGCAGGCCTCGTCATCACAGACATCCACTGACGGCCGGCATCGTAACGGATGGGCCAGGATACAGCAAACCGGGAAGAAGCACACATACACACACACACACAGTTTCACATGCTTGCAAACAGAAACCGTGAAGCTTGTCAATACAAGCTCTGTACGCCTGCTAGCACAAAGGCTTCGGGGGGATCCGTCCCGGGCCCTGCCGTTGTCGTCGCAAGGCAGCAGACATCCGAGATCAGCCGAGTGAGAGAACCTTCAAGACCGCACCTCGCATGGAAGCATCATCTCACGAGCTGGAGTTGGGCAAGCAAATCGGTACCCTTACATCGCGTTGATGGATTCATGAGCCCGCGGATTCTAGCTTTTCCCCAGGAAATGTCACAGGCAGTCGCATTTTCTGCCACAAGTCGGGCATCCGACAACAGATTCATCTAACTGATCCGTGACATGTACTTGGCCATCTAGGCGTACCTGGTAGCACTTGCGTGCCCGACGAGTTGGAGGTACTGACGTGCTTCATTATCCTCCTTTTTGTGGCCTACTGTGCGGCTGGATTGGCAGCGCGAGTCTCCCAGAGCTGAGAAAATTGACACCTGTGTAGAGCCATTAGTTCTCAAGGCTGGAGCCCCGCCGAAGTCTTCCTGGACATCTCGTGCAGTGGCTTTGCACGGGATGGGGTGCTCGAGAGGCTTTGCTTCAGGCCCCCGAACGCCTTCTGCGCTTGGTTTCGGCTTTCAGAGCGCGCAGTACCGAGAGTTCCACAGCCAGGTGGTGCCTAGGGCCTAGGGCCTAGGGCAGCCAGACTGTAATTGCGAGCTTGAAGCTGATCGTTGACGCTGTCGTTTATCACGAAGCCCTGTTGCCGAGTCGGGACTGGTGTCCAAGCCGTAGGGTTTGTTTGGTCAAGCAGTCAGGTCGAGAGGCTTGTGATACGGCATATTGTTTTGCTGTTGGGCTCGCGTCGATCAGGCGCAAGGCGATACTGCAATTTGCAACAGGCGAAGCCACAACTTTAAGGAGGCCTTGTCTTCATAAGTCTGTCAGGGCGTGAATTACACGAAGATCGGGTCCAGTGAGCACACAAGCAGACAGAGCTGAACGGACCCGCGAAGACATCAGGCTAAACGAGGGTACTTGGTGAACTCTTTGCAGATTACTTGTCCGTTTCGACACAATTTGAATCCCGAGATCGCAGACTGAAGACAACCACGGAAGGAAGCGGGGCTCCATCAGGGTTAGGAGGTGCAGGAGGAGTTTCAAAAATGTCGATAAATCCTGCCAACAGACCTGAGATGAGCATGCGCTTGAGTTCCCGTAAAAATCAATTCGGACGGATACATTGTGCGTTGACTCATTGAAGCACTGAGCCAGGGTCCTTTGAAGATCATCGGTGGTTTACTGATGCTCCCTTTCGCTTCCTCGGTCTTGCCGGCATTTTGTTCCATTCCTGCACTACAGTATTAACGAATAAGGGCATCACTTTGGCAGGTCATTGCTGCGCAAATTTGGTTGCGAACCATCTCCTTCATCGTCTGGTTGGCGCCTTCCTCAGAGTCCAACTCCTCCAACTCCACAGAAACTCCAGAGCATGGCCTCCCCAAGCGTCTCAGGCAGTCGCGTGCCCGTGCTGCCGTCTGCAGAGAGCGGACAACGTCTTCGATGCCTTCGAGCGAGAGCTGGCCATTCCCCTTCTTCAGTGCTCCTTCCTGGCCTTCTCCTGCACCTTAGCAGGATTGGCCATGACCTCAGTCGGTTGCAGCTGGTGCTGTGGTTGTGGCAGCTTGTGGCAGCTTGTCCGCTTGCGAGGCTTTGGAGGGGGAGCTCTCCAGCTTTCAGCGCATGTCTGTGGGGATTGCAGCGACCTACTACACCATCATGCTGCTGATCTGGACTGCACCAGCAGTTTTACAAGCCAAGGCGGGACTGGTCTGGAAAGCTGTGGAAATGCTCAGCAAGCACAGCTTTTGGACTCGAACGCAGGTGGCTGCTGAGGAAGTGTACGACGCTAATTCTTTGCTTGTTGCCCAGTTTTTTTGCGTCACTAAGCTCCAGCTAATCTAGAACAGTCGTGGCATTCATCACTGGCTTGGGGCAAAAGGCCCGTTGCGCTTGACATTTAATTCACATTTTTTTGCTCTCATTTGTCCATTGATGCGTTCATCATGCGCGCTGCGTTGTGAGTGTAAGTGTCGGCACCAATTGACAGTGATGACAGTGAATTGGATGCCGACTACTTGGATAGCTTGGAAGGCGCGTGGCAAGTTGTGCAGAATCACACGTCGCAAGAATAGCATCTGGTGGGTGGGGGATGTGTGGCCCCATTTGCCGCACAAAGCTCGCAGACCAGCACCGGTCGTAAGCCTGATAGGAACGCATTGGACGGCCTTGGAAGTCTCAGCCAAGAGATGGTTCTGCTGCTTCGGACATGGGCCGTCGCCTGTACCTACAGTACGCTTTCTGTTCCCTGCTTCCCAGGCTCGGAGAAGAAGGTGCCGCGCAGCTTTTAGAGCAGCGGCCTGAGCTGAAAGGGCTTCGGACCTTTTTACGCCATGTTTTTACACCAGCTTTAACGGGCCCCCCAGGCGAGCAGGAGATGGAGAGGTGGAGCTTGAGGCCAGTCCGGTTTCTGCAGAAACTTGAGAAACGAGCAGTTTTGATTTGGTTGGCTGCAGAAGCAATCAGACCTGCTAGCTCAAACATTGCTTCTTGCAGTAGTCGGTTTCGTCCCACGCTGCAAAGCAGACAGAGAGCATGACAAGCTCAATGCTGGCACATGATGGAACATGACATCAGTCCAAAGTGCTGTAAAGTTGTTCGTTGGATGTGGGCACTCTGTGTTGCGGCCGAACTTGCACCCCCTGTTTCACTCTGCTTGGATTTCCGTTCTGACTGGTGCTCATTATTGACCAGTCCAAATCCGTCGGTCGTGGCCGATCTTGGACTCAAGAAGACCTGAGAAGACCTGAGACTTGGACTGGATTGATCAAGCTGGCCCGGCGACTTGATCAGGGAAAGACGGTGCACATAACCCTTCCTGGCACTTGCCGATCACCGGGTTTGCAGCCACTTCCCACGGCAATGCCGGGCCAATCCCATCTAGCCGGTTTTCGTGCTGACAATGCCTTGCTGTGTATGCTCCGTCTTCTAACAGCTGGCAGGACCTGCGGAGCACTTGTGATGAGCTGAAAGCTCTGGTCCAACGTGAACGGCATGATCATGCTGTGGAGGTCTTTCGGAAAGCTCTTGTTTGTGCGTTTAGCCGTAATTTGACCGGCCTGACTGCGAGCAGGTGGGACAGCTCGTTGCAAAACTTCGAGATCAAGAGGTCATTTCGAGAAGTTCTGAGAAGAGCAAGGCAGCACTTCATCTGAAGCTGCAGCTGAGTGTGCTGCTCTTGCATGATTGCCTGGAGGCACAGCTCCTTTCTGAAGTGGAGGAGTGGCGCGAAAGGCCGAAAGCCTTTGTAAACAAAGCTTCTTCCTGTGCCACGCGCAGCGTCGCTCGAAGGTGCAGTGAGCTCAAGAAGCAGCTGGCCCTGTCATCACGTCCTGATCTACCCAGGCCTGCTCAGCATGGGCCTGTCGGAGGGCACATGGCTGCTGCATGCTGCCGTTTTGTAGAAGTCTTGGCAAGGATAAAGTGGCCGATCCACACAGCTGGTGCGGATGATGCAGGCTCAGCTTCAGACCGCTGATGTTGTTCGGGGTGTCATGAGAAGATTTTCCAAACCAGGAGCTTCCGCTTCTGGGTCGCAGCCATCGTCGGAGTCCCAGTGTCTCTGCGATTTGCGAGTATCGTGTGCGTCCAGTCTTCACCTTAGCCTTAGAGGCTAAGATGCTTGTCGCTTATTGCACTTTGTGGGAGGACAACCCCGGATCAGCAAGAAGCCCTTCACGGAACGCAGAGCCCTGGTGGTGCCTCCGGCGTGCCTCGGCGATCAGCACGCTCGCGATGGTTGTCGCATGTTACGGCAGCGCACATCTGAGGTTGCCCTTGAGCCGGTCTCAAGCAACGACGAAAGTTCGGAAGTCGAGCGCGCGGGTGGGCGGCCGAACTTGCAACATCTGGCAACTCTCCATCAGGCTGGGATTCATGAGCTTTCCTGAGCAGGTCCAGGTGACTCCCCGTGCAGCCACGAGGGTTCAGAGGCCCAACGCTTCTGCCACAAGCCTGGGAAAAGCCGTGAGTTCCAGGACGCTGAGAACGAAGCCAGCGCCGACGGTCCTCCCGCACGCAGGAACGGCTGCAGAGCGTAGCTTGTGCGAAAAGCAACTGCATGTTCTGGAGTTCAGTGTTTCTCATGCTATGTTGAAGCAGTGAAATAATTGTCACAACGGGAAAGAGCTTGTGCTGGTTCTGCAGAATCAGTTTGCGTGTTTGCCAATCCTCAACACCTTCGACCATGCATCGCCAGCCCTTCCAACCATCCGAAATTTTCTGGAGGAACAAGTACAAGCTCAAACCAGGAACCTGTGAGGGAAAAGCTCGAGTTCACACGTTTCTGCTGCAGCGCACTTTTCCTGTGTAAGTTAGCTCGGTTCGTCTAAATGCAAACGCCTGCCAGGCCATCATCAGATGATGGTGGCAGCCTGAGCGAGGCAGCAGCTACACGCCCAGCTGTCACGCGCTTATCTGCAGGCCAGCAGCAGCATCACAGTGCATCGCCCGAGGCATCTCGGCAACAGAGCTTGAAGCACAGCTATCAAGGGTGAGCAGACTCCAAAAACTTTGGCAGTAGGCCACTCCGACACCGTCTGGGGTTTCGCCACACGCTGAGCGGCATGCCCAGATTGCAAGTCTGCCTTTGGCATGCGGTTGCGCAGATGACATGGACGAGGTCTGCTGCTGAAGATGTCCAAGATGTCCTCTCAGCCGGTGAGGTCCACACCTAGAGCTTCTCAGAAGCAGATGAGATTCTGAAAGAAGTCCTTGCTTGTCAGGACATGAGTGGAACAGATGCAGCTCTCAGCGATGCGGATGGTCCCCATCCAGCGTCGGATGTTCCAAGTGCGAAGCGTGAGCACTCCGAGAAGGAAGCTGCTTAGCGCCTGTAGCAAATTGCTCGGTGCTGGTACCATGTGTCACTGGACTCATCCACAAGGGATGAGCTCTCGGGGAAGCGCTTCCCCTGTTAATGTGCAGCAGTTGCGTCTGCTCGAACGAAGACGTGCTTGTCGCTTGTGCTAGCTCGTGTGAAGGCATGTGTTGCAAGCAGAGCTTGCGATTGCAGGTCGCGTGACAAGTCTCTGCAATTCGAATCTTTGCTGTTGCTCAAGAGCTTAGCTCAATCTAAGTTTGCTTTGCCCTGGGCAGGCACACATCCTGCCAAAATGAAGCATTTTTTGGAGATGATTGCTGTGTTGATGGCCTTGTTGCCCTTGGGCGCCCTGGGTGATCAGAGTCGAAGGCTCTCCACCCATCGCGTGAGCTCACAGGCTTCGTCATCTGCCACCAGCGAGTTACAGCAAATTCTTCAGGATGGAAAGATGAGCATTCCATTAAGTCTGCAGGCTATTCAGACGACCCTGGTAAAGATGGGACAGGAGGCTAGCAACAGCAGTGCCGTGACAACTGCTGATTTCGCAAAGAGCATTGAGCCTTTGCTGTATTCTATGCAAAACACAATTCGCAGTCAAAACAACTTGACTCAGCAGACCTTAGACAATTCCTGGGCCACTTTCACCGCTTGCAGCTTTGACTTTGGAGGCCCGGCTGGCTTCGAAGATTTGACAGCGCTCGAAAACTCTCACAAGACGTGCAGAGTCGATGAGGGCATTCAGAAAACGGGGCTGGACTCCTGCAGAATCATTCAGGGAAACAAGGAGTCTGCGCTTGTCGACGCCAAGAAAGACTTTCATGGCGATGAAGCCAGTGGCACCAAGGGGAAGAATGTTCTTCCCGAAGCCAGTACTTGTGACTTTGAGCAAACAGGTGCAGCTTGGAGCTCCCCCAAGGAGTACTTAGAATACTTTGAGAACCACTTTGGCACCTTGCTGAGCGACTGGCGAGCCTCCCGTGATGCTGTAGTCAAGGCGCAAAATGAGACCAATACTCAGACAGCCCTTTGTGACTCCAAAGAGGTGAAGTGGAACGGTCAGAAGACAGACTGTGCTCAGTTTCAAAAAGCGCTGGAAACCGCAGCATGTGACATCTTGACCCACAACACTGCCTGCAGGAGTTACACGGGTTGCTACAACAGAGAGTGGCATTCTTATGGGGAGACCGAGAAGCTGACGAAGACACAGGAGGCCGAGCAAAAGGCCGAAATGGAGGGGACGCTGAAGATCCTCTGCATGATCCGTGTCTTTGGACAGCCGGACTTGACTGCAAGGATCAACCGCTGTCTGAAGGCTGACTATGCATCTAGTACGGATGTGACAAACCTGCATATTACGTACTACCCGAGCTCCAAAACTCCAATGCCAACTGATCAAAGAGGTACCTGTGCAGCGGCCAGCAAAGCCTCAATGATTCCTGGCACGAAGGCCTTTGAGAACACGCACTATGGTGGTCTGCCAACGAATGCAGGCTTTTCAGACTGTTCTGCCTCGTGCTGTGGATATTCGGAGCCGACTTGCCAGAAGTACGGCTGCAGCACCAAGTACGTAAAGACCCAGCTCTGCCAGTGCAATGCAGAATGTGAGGTGCACGGAGACTGCTGCTGGGACTACTACGATAAATGCAATGTTGTTTCGAAGGAGTACAACATCGTGCTCAACGAGGTCGCCTTTAGCGGTGTGGCTGGCACCTGTGAAGGTGCGGACTGGGTGGAGCTCTACAATGCTGGGCATGTGATGAAGGACATCAAGGGATGGACATTGTCAGTGGAGAAACCGGATCCTCAAAATCCAGGTTCAACCGTTCAGTACGATGTTGCCTTCGACACTAGTCAAACAATCGAGCCTGCTCGTTCACTAGTGGTTTGTGCGAAGCCGGGAGGTCTGTCTGATGCCACACTCCCGAATATTGAAGTTGAGTTCGAGAAGGGCAACAAGATTACCTGGAGTGACAAGGACGGCAGCGTTATATCCGCAACTACGATCTCGGACACCGCAGCAGGCGACAAGACTTGGTCTCGTCTGGCGGACGGTGAATATGCAGCGAAAGATCCAACTCCCGGGTCCAAGAACAAATAAGGGAGCGGTCGGAGACATGACGTCGACGGAACTACAAATCGGCTTGACCGGTTGCCGAACTACACGGATGAAAATCAGCCGGCTCCATTCATTTGACTGATATAGATCATGGAATCTGAATTGAACCACGTTTTCTTTCACAAAGTTCATAGTTACTGTCAATATGAACTTATCCACTTGTAATCGTTATTTACTATTTAGAATTTCATCCCTGCATAGACATTGAACTCTTAACTCGAATCTTTAATCCACTGAGTTTCTTTCTGATACTAGAAATTTTATCGGTCTGAGTACAAGTTCATATAGATAACATATAGTTATATAAATGTGTACTTAGAGTCCTTAGTTGACTCTTAGAAGAGAGATACGTTTCGGAAAATGGTTGAACTCTTTTTTGAACTGTTTCTCTTTAATTTGAGAAATGTAAACATAAAACATCCATTTACTCTGTAAAACGCTGCGCACTTCCTCTGCTTTCGGATTGTGCAGGACGGTTTCCGGTACGAAACCAGGAAGATCCTATTATTTTGGGACCGTCGGCAAGCACGCGTCGGTTTGTCTTTAAATTAGAGGCGATTCCTAATATAGTACGAAACCCGAAATTCTGGGGATTAGGAGGGTTTCGTGCCAGACAGCTGTGTGGTACGAAACCCCAAAGATCCCGAATATTTCGGGGGGCTTGGTGCCGTACGAAACTCGGAAATCCCGGGAAAAGTGCGGCTTCGTTCCGCACCAAATTCCCGGGAAAATCAAAGTTAGGTACCATCACATTTTCGGTCAACTGTGTATTACTTTCTAGCCTTCACTTCATTATGCTGCTTCGACGAAGTATTGGATGTTATCGACGTCTTGCTGAAGCTGTTCAAGCTGCTCAACTTATGTAGGTCTCAAGTCGTGACTTTCCTTATACTATAGTGAAGGATGCGACACTTTACACATGCTACGCATACTCTATTTATCGCACCGAGGGCGTGTGTGTCGTGGGAGTGTGGGCGAGGCGCATCGTGGAGTGGCGGGCGGGTGGGTCGAGGTGTCGCGCAGAGGCGGGCGAGGGTATGGCGTGCGTCGTGGGGAAGGTCGCGGAGTGGCGGGTGAGGGTCGCAGAGTCATGGAAGAGAACATATTCTCTAATAAAACGGTGTCGTGCTGCTTGCGTCCGTGATTCTGTGCGTGCCCCTGGTCCCCTGTAACTAGGTCCTCTGACACGTTTCCTCTTTGAAGGCCTCTTGCGTGCTTCTCACGGTATATTTTTTCAGGGAACTTTAGTACCGCCGAGCATTTCTCTCCCGGTACTAAAAGACCAGAAATTTTGGGAGCAGTCGCGGTATCAATTTGAGAAATTTTGGTAGCTTAAGGGTGACATGCTCGCGGTAATAAAATTTCAAGGATTTTTGGCAGCAGGTCTTGCGGTAATGAGATTTCAGACATGTTGGTAGTTTGAGGGGGACATGTTCGCAGTAATGAATGCTTCCGAAATTTTAGTCCCGCGAGACAAGCACCTAGAGTGCCGTTCTTTCCGAATGCAGGTGTCTCTGTGTGTCTCTCTCTCTCTATGTGTGTGTGTATACCCTGATTCTAAGCTAAGGGTTTTTGGCAATTTCTCTTTCCCACGACAGCAGGGGGATGCCCCACACCTGAAGAGTGGGCATCTAACAAAGAGGCTCTTCAGAGTGTGCTGATAAGGTTCTGGGACGCTGGAACCACGTACCTGCAGGTTTCATTCGTATGGCAACCAGGCTAAGCCGAGAACCTGGGAAACCATCAATAGTGACCTAGTGTCTTGCAGTGGCGGAAGCCGACGATGACCTTACCCAACATCTCCGTGTGTGTTTGTCTGTCCGTCTGTCTGTCCGTGCGTCTGTCTGTCTGTTTGTGCGTCTGTCTGTCTGTGCGTCTGTCTGTCCGTGCGTCTGTCTGTCCGTACGTCTGTCTGTCCGTGCGTATGTTTGTCTGTCTGACTGTCTGTCTGTGCATCTTTCCGTCTGTCTGTCTGTCGGTCGGTTGGTCGGGCGGGCGGTCGGTGTGTCTGTCTGTCTGTCTGTCTGTCTGTCTGTCTGCCTGCCTGCCTGCCTGCCTGCCTGTCTGTCTGTCTGTCTGTCTGTCTGTCTGTCTGTCTGTCTGTCTGTCTGTCTGTTGGCCTGGCTGTTGGTCTGTCTGTTGATCTGTCTTTTGGTCTGTCTGTTGGTCTGTCTATTGGTCTGTCTGTCGGACTGTCTGTTGATCTATTTATCGGTATGTCTGTTTGCTTGTCTGCAGGGCTATTTGGTTGGCTGACTGCCTGCCTGATTATCTAGATATCTATTTATTTATTTATAAAGATTTTAGATTATTCAAAGAAATAGATTTATTATAATATATATATATATATTATATTTTTTCTTAAAGATCTATAAAATGATATTTTTCATATAATTAATTAAATGATAATTAGGTATTTTGAGATATCGATTATTTCTTTTCGATTTTATATTTCGAAATGAATTTTGATATCTGAGAAATATATTAATTAGAAGGAATTCATATAAATCTATATTATATTATTCATTGTATATCTAGTTCATGCTTATTTATTCATAGGCACGAAGAGATAATTGATTATTTTAATATTCATATATTAATTTTCTTAATATGCCATTCATAATGAGATTTATTATTTTTGAATTATTAGTATGATATTAAAAATAAATTGTTATAATTTTTAGAAATCTCGAATTATAGAGTATGAATATTTATATAGCATATTATGATAAATTATTCGTATATAA